GGGGTCTTTTTAGCCTAACTGCCTAGCCAATTCCTACATCCTATTCTTATCACACCATCCTCTGAAGGGGTTAACCAAATTGCCGATAGGGAATTGGGACACAGACAGCTCTGGCTTCTTCCATGCTGAACAGGGACACAGGGTGAGGCAATTGGAGTACCCCTTCAGAGGGTCTATCTGAAAGATTCCCAAATTGCATAACTCTTATCTCTAGGGGGAAAAGAAAGTCCTTGAATCCTGACTAGGAGATGTGAAGGAGAAGTAAAGGCAAGAGTAATTAGCATTCCAAGTTCTAGACAGGGAAGTAGAAAAAAGTCAGAACAGGGCAATTTTCAAATGTTCATATGAGAATCCATTGGAATTTCTTGACAAAGGCTTCCAAAAGCATCCTGCTATTGGGTTTGTCCTCATTTTTCTTTTGTCTTCCAAGGCTAGACTCTAGAATAATGGGTTCAGGATTTGCTTTCAGGTATTTTGATAGTGAGATAACTGAGGGTTTGCTGAGGTGTATGTATGACCTGAGAGTATGCACACTGGAAAGCCTTTACCCAGCATGGGTCAGGAAACAAGGTCAGCTTATTGGGGCCTTAAAAAAAGTCATTTAACTGCCTGAAGTACTAATTATTCAAAAGCAAATGGTTCAATAGGGAGCATTAGCAGTGAGAATTCTAGAAATCACTCCTTTTAACCTTTGCTATCCTGGTTAGCCTTTTCAAAGTAGATAAGGCTCTCAACCCAATAAGCAGGACTGAGAAGAGAATGCCATTCACTGCAGCTGGCTCACTTCCTGCTGGCTCACTCAGGCCTGGGGTCTGAGGTGCTATGTAGGACTGAGTGGATGGCATTTGTTTGAAGGAAGTTATAGTTGAACATTCTCCTACCAAACTGCTTTCTGGAGGCCTGGGGTCTGATAGCACAGCCTGACCCTCCAGGGAGCAGGAGGAATTTTCTGCTTGATATCTTCTTTAAAGGGTAATTCATTATTTTATCTGCTCCCCCCACCCCATTTTGGCCCATCTCTCAAAAATGCTCATTGACCAGAAAAGAAGAGGAAGTGAAGAAAGGGAGAGGGCAGAAAAGAGTAAGAGGAGAAGGACAAAGTGATACTGAAAGGCAAAGAAGGAAAGCGGAGGGAGAAAAGGCAAAGGAAGAGGAGTACATTAGGCCAGAAGAAGAAGAAAGAAAACAAGAGCCTGAGACAATGGTCTGTGCGACTGATACAGTCACAAAGCAAAATGAATTCATGTAGAACTTCCTGGGACCAGAACATGGGTGCTTTTCCTCCCAGTGTGAAGGTGCCTCCTTAGCCTGGGTGACCCCACACCTCCTCCAGCCCCAGCACCTGCAGGGCCAGCACCCAGAGCTTCAACACATGATGTCAGTTTCTGTCACCTAATTCCTGGCTAATGTAAGCCTTTCAAGATCATGACGAGCTTTTGTGAACCCCAAACAATACATAGCAGAGCAATTGCTCAGTTGATTCCTAAGATACCACCACCTGGGGCAAATGCAGACCGGCTGTTGAACAGCTGTCCCACATCAGTCTTCAGTGCCAGAGGTTGAGCAGTGTTATAATTCAACAAGATAAAGATGAACCTCAGAGGCACGGGGTGCACAGTGAGAGCAAAGCCCAGATGAGCCACAGTCCAGGCACTTGGCCTGGGTTTTGTCTTTGTAGTTTTATTATAAATACACTCATATAAAAATAAGTACCACTCTACTTTTGCAAAACACTTTGTAATTTGAGTATATCCCATGCATTGTCTCATTTGATCCCTTTGCATTTAAAACTGTTTAAAAATTAGCTAAATGTCAACTGTATTTATAATCCCCCCCACCCCACTTGGCCTACATATTTTGCAGAAACATCATCTGTTGCTTCCTTATAAATGTAGTCCAGGAAAACATTTTTCTTTGCATTTCTCTTCCCTCTGTCTCTTGTAAATCCACCTTTTCCCTCCTCTGGCTACTTTTCTTGATACCATAATTATGGGTTTTTGCAATTTTGCTTTTGTGTCTGCATCTCAGAGAGTGCAATCCTTTGTTCCCTTCCCATTTGTTCTTTGCACCTGTGTCTTGCCCCTTTACCTCCTCCTATGTCAGCATATCCAAGTGTCACCAAGCTCCTCAGGGACAATGAGGCACCAGTCTAAAGCATGGTCTCGCCACCTCCTCTTTGTAACCCTTTCCTTACATCATCCTTCTGTGTCCCATATTATTGACATGCAGCTAGCTTGTGCTTTACCTAAAATTGAGAGTGACTGAGCCCCTCTGAGGCCAGGTTGCCACAACTGAAACGTCAGGGTACAGTTCAGCCAACTTCATGGACTTGTGGGTAAGAGTTAGAGAGGAGGCTTTGGGTATAGCTCAGTTGGCTTGACTAGCATTCATGAAGCCTGGGTTTGATCCCTAGTACTGCATAAACCAAGTGTAGTGGTGCTTCTCTGTAATCCCAGCAGTGGAGTCAGGAGGATCAGAAGGTCAAGATCATTCCCAGCTACATAGTGTGTTTGAGGTGAGCCCAGGCTACAGGAAAACCTGTCTCAAAAACAAAAAGTCATTCTTGCTCCAACTGGTTATATAAAAATTTGAAGTATGAACTGGGGTACAAGCAGACTGTGAAGATCAGACAGGGTAGAGTGAAAGTGGTTATACTCCCCAACTGCCCAGCTTTGAGGATGTTGGAACTAGACTATTATACTATATTGGTCCAAATTACAGTCCATCACTACAGAGGTAATGCTATTGAATTGAACACAACAATTAGGAAATATTATAGAGTGTGTACCCTGGATCCAAGTGATTCTGATTATTAGAAACCAGTCAGAACAGACTAGAGAAAAACAAGCATGAAAATTATTTTTTAATATACTTGCCAGAGCTTGTTTTAAAAATAGAGAGAGGGATGCATGGATGCCATAGAGCCTTGTGTCCAGTATGGAAAAATACTCATGGGTTCTATCTCCCATCTCTCCTTTGCATACTTTCACCTCCTAAGAATCATAAGACGAACTTGGCTGTGTAAAGACAAGACCCTACAAGTCGTCTCAGTCTTTGCCCCTTTGAACTAGATACCCAACTTTGTCTCATTTAGCACTTGCCCAAAATGGAATGATAAAAGTCTAATGCACTCATCAATCAATGTGGTTGTCAGGATCAAATGGAAGGAATGTAAAAGTGCCTTGTAGACTAGGAGATAGACCAACACACCCTCTAACAGTCAGACATCCCCTGGAAGGGACTGTGTGGTCCTGCTTCATCTTAAAATTCCATGTACTTTCTTAAAGATTTTTTTTTGGTCTTTTTGAGACAGGGTCTCCCTGTAGCCCCAGCTGTCCTGGAACTCACTATGTAGACCAGGCTGGCCTTGAACTCACAGAGATCTACCTGCCTCTGCCTCCCAAGTGCTGGGATTAAAGGCATGTGCCACCACGCCAGGCCTTAAAGATATTTTTTAAAGCAGTAAAATATACACATGAAAGTTAACATCTTAACCATTTTTAGTGTACAGCTGGGTTATATTAAGTATATTCATAATACTCTATAACCAGTTTACAGAACATTTTCATCTTGCAAAACTGAATTAAATATGTTTAATCTGTACAAAACCAGCATGTAAGTTAGCTGTTTTCCTTTTGAAATTTTCTTTTTCAGCTTTCTAAGAATGAGGCAGGTCATTGAGACTGGGACACCCGGCAGATTGTTGTTTGAGTTACCCAGTGATGGGCACGTGGGTTTCCTTTGTGCCATTCAGACCTATTTTCTCCCCAGGAAAATGCTCCTTTCCTGATGGAACTGCATTACAGTAGAACTAGAGTTGGCTTCCAGGATTCCTATTCTGCATTTTCACTATAAAAACATACTCTTACAACCCTTAAATGGTGAAAATAGCTCATGGTTCAAAGGGAAGAAACATCATAGTCTGTGTCTACTTATAAGAATCACACGTAACCCCTTTAACTTCTGATGTCCTTTTGTACCATTTCATTTTCTCTTGCTATAATTAAATGCCTGAAGTTGAGTGCTTATAAAGAAAAAAACAACCTATTTAGCTCATAGTTTTGGAGGCTAAAAATCCAAACAACAAGGGCCTCCATGATTCCATTACATGGTGGCAGATGGCATCACAGTGGGACCTTGTATGAAGAGAGTATAGTGTAGTTATTTCTTCTAAAATGAAACTTTCCCCTCTGGAAGGAAACTCTTTAAGACTCAGGAAACACAGAACTTGCAAGGCTCAGGAAGTAGAAAAAGCTTGCAAACCTTAAGAAATTCCTGAGACAAGACTCATAAAGCTCTTTCCCAAGGTTGTGTAAGTAGGAACACTTGCTAGGACGCTTTGGTGCCTGCAATGTCATCCAGGGTAGAGATGAAGCATTGTGAATTGTCACCCACTGTCACCAATAAACTCACTGGTTCTAGTCACTAAGCTAGACTTGGGTGGAACCATTACTTTGATCTGTTATTGGTGTCTTGTTTGGGGTGAGTAGATGCTTATTCACGTCTCTGTAGGAAAAGTCATGTAACAAGAGACACATGTGAGACAGGAAACCAGAGAGTGATGCAGGGACTAGTTGTGCTCTTTTTTTAAAAACTCCCTTTGCTTGTTTTCGTTTATTTTTTGTTTGCTTTGATTTAGTGTTTTGGTGTGTGTGTGTTTGTGTGTGACATTTACAGAGGCTATTTTAAGTTTCTGGTTGTTTGGGTTTGGTTCTTTTGTTTTGTTGTGGTTTTTTGAGACAGGGTCTCCCGCTAGCCCCAGCTATTCTGGAACTTAGTATGTAGAATAGGCTGGTCTCAATCTCAAAGCCTCCCAAGTGATAAAAGATATGTATCACCACACCCAGCCCTTATCTTAAGGTGTTTTTAAAAAATTGTATTAATTCTTTGGGAATTTCAGACAATGTATTTTGATCATATTTACTCTCCACTCCACCCTCAACTCCTCCCAGATCCACTCCCCACTTCTCACCTCTTCCCTCTTATTTTTCCTTTCTTAGTGACCCATCAATTCCAACTTGTACTGCTCATATACTACGAGGTTTGGGGACATCTACTGGAGCATGGTTGACCTACCAGAAGCCACATCCTTAAAGAAAACTGAATCTCCCTCCCCCATCAGCCATCAATTATCCATAGGTCCTCAGGGGTAGGGGGCTCATGAATGCCTTCCCACTCCATACCAGAATGTCAATCGGCTTGATCTTGTGCAGATCTTGTGCAGGCAGCAACAGCAGCTGTGAGTTCATGAGAGTATCCTGTCTTGAACAGAAGACACTGTTGCTTCAGTCTTCCCTGACCTCTGGCTCTTACAATGTTCTCAACCACTCTTGCATGGTGGCCCCTAAGCCTAGGGGAGGGGTGTGATGTAGGTACCCCATTTATGGCTGAGCATCCTGCTGATCTCTGCACTTTGATCAGTTGTGAGTATCTCTACTAACTGCCATCCACTGTACAAAGAAAAGTTCTCTGATGAGGTTGGAGAGCTACACTAATCTATGGGTAAAGAGATACAAATTTATAAGTCAGTTTGATTAGCATCAAAGGCTAGTGGAAAGCACCTTTCTTCACTAGCCTGATGTGCTCCCCACTTGAGTGGTGATGTCTGCCATGGTCATTTGTGGGATTGTCTGTACCTGTCTCCATTACGTTCCCTCATCTCTCTCTCTGTTTTCTAATTCAGAGCTTCTTAAATTGAAGGTTGTGACCCATATGGGGTGGTATAACTGAATATGCAGGGGTCATGAAAATTTGGCAACAGGAAATAGTTTCTAAATATGCAATAACCATAAAGTCAAACGTAATAAAGCCACGGTGTTTCTGGTAGGGCTATGTTGCATGGTTTGGCTTCACTGCAGCCTGGATTCTGAACACACAGCATGCATACTTTGCACTGTGTATGTTCTTAGTGACACAGTACCAGCACATGCTGTCTGAAACAGCTTGGCTCAGATTTGGGACAAGTGTATGCCTCCCCTTTCCCTTTTTGAGGCAATCAATGTTTTATTGTACACACAAAGTTTTCTGTTCTTAAGGAATCACAGTGATTTAATTACAGAAATAGACTTTTAATATTTTTCTACTGTCATTCCTCAGCATCTAAGTATCAAATTAGTATATTATTGGATTGTATTGTGTTTGAATGTTTCAATATAAAAATTGTTGTGTGAATAAGATGTTGACTTGAGTTTTACCAAAAATGATTAAATAGCCAGGCATGGTGATGTGTGCCTTTGGGAGGCAGAGGCAGGCAGATCTCTGTGAGTTCAAGATCAGCCTGGTCTACATAGTAAGTTCTGGTCCAGTTGGGGCTACAGGGAGAACTTGTCTCAAAAGAGCTAGGTAAAGGCAAAAGATACATGGAGGTAAAGGCAAAGAAACAACACGAAAGGGAGATAGGAGGGAAGAGATGCAACCTGAGGGAGGTGAAAAATTGAGAGTAATAGGGAGAAGAGGAGGGAGGGTCATGCAAGGGACTGTGGTGTGGGGGAGAGAGGGAAGTCAGGAACAGAAAGAGGAAAGATGGCGGGAGTCAGGAGGTATTGGGGGAAAGGTAGGAATAATGGGATATTGTGACTAGGAAGGGAGGGAGGAGGGAGGCCAGATGGGAGAAAAAAGAGTAGAGATGAATGAATCTTGCCGGGGGGGGGGGGGCTAGGAAACCTAGAGGGAAAAGCAATTCCCTAAAAACTCTGTGAGAAATGCACATAGTGTCTGAACATTAATGTATATGTATACCTAGGAGCTGCTTGGAAGGGAATGCAGTACGAGATAGAAGAGACCTCCCTTAGAGCTAATAACATGCCGTACAGCACTCATCAAAGAAACTTCTTTTTGCAACAGATGGAGGCTACTGCAGAGTTGCACATCTGGTCAGGCATGGAGAACATGCACCTGGGAGATACCCAGTATCAGGTGACATATCTACAGTGGAATTCCTACAGCCAAGGCTCATGGAACATAGCAGAATAAGCGGTAGAGAGAAGGCTAATGCACCCCTCAACTCTCATCAGTGAAGCTTTCATGTACATCAGAGTGTATCACACACAGAAATCCTCAACTGGCCAACTTTTGGAGAATAAGAGACTGTAGAGTATAGGATGGGACCCCTATATGGAAGCTCACCCACCCACGGCTCAGGGACCATTGCAGAAGAGAAGGAGTAAAGACTGTAAGAGCCAGGGCTGGTTTGTGAAAGGTTGAAGTGGAGGCTTCCAGGTCAGTGGAGGCTTGCTCATGTGCACCTGCGGTAGCAGTGACATCCAATGTGAGACCCATGTCAGCTCAATTAAACAAGGGCCCAAAGGGGAGGTGAGAAATGGGTGGCAGATCAGCACTGGATCGAGAACTATTTGAGACTGTTTGCTGCTGGGTGAGGGAGACTATGACTTACATACGACCACTGGATGGGCTGACTAAACTCCAATGGGTGCATTTACATTGAAGGACATTTGGGTACAAACATTTGAATGAATAGGACATAGGATGTATGGCAGAGTGCATAGGGTTCAGTGGGGGGGTATGGCTGGATGAGGAGGTCTGGATGTGAGTGGGAAATAGTGTATGAAACTTTAAAAACTCAATAAGAAAATTTAAAGAGACCAAGAAAAATTATTTGGCTTGGGATCAGGATACAATTTAGAGCATTTTCTGAAATAGCCCTAAACATACCTGTGCCACTTTGTATTATGTATTTATGCAAAGTAGCAATCTTAGCATTGACAATTATAAGATCAAAATATTGTTCAACTCTGAAAAACACCAAAGATGCTCTATATCCTATAGTATTAAATATTTAGCCAAGAATTCATTATTTATGTAAATACAAACACATCTATCTCATTAATATACAAATTTGCTTTTGTTTTTAGTAAATGGTAAAATTGTATGTATACCAAAGACTCATTTAAAAATGCATTTTTTTATGATCTATTATCAATAAATATTTGATTTGGATACGTACTTGATGTACTTGAATACCTGGGGTCATGTAAAAATTGCTCAGGTGAAAAGGGGCTACGAGGGGCTAAAGTCCAAGAAGCCTTGCTCTAACGGATTCATAACTGGTCAAACTGCCGAGAATAATTTCATGCTCAGTCCTAAATGGGACATCTGTATCAACCTCCCACCCCAAGGCTTGAGGAATATTGAGGAAGAAAGGGGGTATGGAAAGAAAGGAAGAACCAGAGGATGTGGAGGAGTGCTATGGAGTGCTATCTTCTGGACATGACAAGACCATTGCACTTATGAACTCACTGAAGCCATGGTTACCTACACAAGATCAAGTCAACAGGACCAGTCAACATGCTAAAAGGCAGACAGACTAATTGGACTCACTGGGTTATTAAAAAAAGAGAGGACATGAAAGGCAAAGAGAGATATGCTGGGGGGCTCCTGGGTAGAGTCGGAGTGGAAAGTTGGAATGCATATCAAGATGCATTGTTTACATGTTTGAAATTGTCAAAGAATACATTAAAACATTCTATTTTAAAACTAGGCCTTTCTCTAAAGTATCTAGAGCTATTGTTCTTTTTCCTTGATTAATGCTTTGTCTGTACTCATCTCTGAGACCCTGTTTGTGGAAGCTTTTGTCATTTGTACTTTGATTTTTGCTATTTCTGTTTTATTCTCTTCACCTTTATATGGGGGGAAATGGTCTGCATTGATCACTTCTGTGAAAGGGAGAGCTATTCTGTTATTTAAAGCCCTTGGCTCAGTGCCTCCCTTTGAGCATTTTTAACACGTCCTACTTCTACATGCCATCTTGAAAGAGGAGAGACTGCTCTACCTTTAATGATCCTCTTAATAATTTTAATTTCTTCTTGCTTCAATAGAAATTTGCATAGTTTCTACTTGATCTTGCCAAGTTTCCAAAATTGTGAGAATTCTCCTTTGATCAGAACAGAAAATCTTGGTCAATTCTTTACTCCAAAAACCTATGAGACACTAGGTCAGACATTTAACCTTGTATGCCCTGGGTTCCTCATTTCCGCACAAAGCACACAAAGATAAATATACTTTACCCAATGGTCAAATGCTGGATAAGATCATTTTTAACATCATTATTGCTTTAACACCTGGACTTCCTGATCAGAAAGAGATGTTTCATAACAATCTCCAGTTCACACATAGTTTGTCCTTTTTATTAGCCTATTTCTCCATTACCTTTTGCAAATTTTAAATCAGATTATTGGGATAAAAAACATCTGTGTTCCATGTTATAATTTTAAACAACTTCACATGCATTAAATGGGTTGGCTTCATTGCTGGTGTACATAACTAAACAACCTTGACTCCTTGCCTTTAATCTGAGCACTCGGGAGGCAGATGCAGGCGGATGTCTGAGTTCAAGTCCAGCCTGGTCTACATAGTGAGTTCCAGGCCAGCTGGGGCTACAGAGAGACCCTGTCTCAAAAAGACAAAAAAAAAAAATCCCACATGCAGTAAACTGTGCAATATCTCCCACCATCCCTACATTTCTCCCTATAATATGTATATATTTTTAAACCAGGGACTCCTTGAAAAGTTTGTGTATTTAACTTTACCTTTTTCCTTTTTAAAGTTTTCTAGTATTTTTAAAAAATTTAAGTTAGCATGCAAAGTAATGAGTTTCATTACGGCACTTCATACATCGTATCACTGTACTTTGTTAATATACATCACCCTTCCCCACTGCCCCCATTCCTCCTTCCCCACCGTTGTGGTCTCCTGTGTCCCTACAGCATAGTATCCCTTTCACTTTTGTGTCATATGTGTTTCATTACTCTGTTTTCCTCTCTCTCTGTCTCTCTCTGTCTCTCTCTCTCTCTCTCTCACTCGCTCTCGCTCTCTTGCTCCCCCCCCCCACTTAAATGTAGAGTTCACCTATGAAAGAACACATGGTATTTCTCTTTTCCGAGCCTGGCTAATTTTGCTTAACATAATGATCTCCAGGTGCATTCAGTTTCCTGTAAAGGTCATGATTTCATTTTCTTTTATGACCGAATAAAATTGCATTGTGTCTGTGTACCACTTTTTCTTTGATCCATTCATCTGTTGGTGCACATGTAGGCTGGTTCTATTTCTTAGCTATTGTAAATAGTGCATAGACCCAGGACTGGTATAGCTGGATAATATGGTAGTTCTGTTTCTAGTTTTTGGAGGAATCTCCACATTGACTTCCATAGTGGCTGCACCAGTTTACATTCCCACCAGTAATCAACAGGGGTTCTTCTTTCCCAATGACAATGCATTGATTTAGCCACTGCACTAACCACTTGTAGTAGAGTGTGCACCAAAGGAATATTAGTTATGACATAAATATTTAGCAATAAAAGAATAGATAATTATATATTTACCTGATAAAATGGTATGTAACCATTAAAATTATGCTCCCAGATTTATTTCTTGTTACCTGCATGGCAAGATATTCCTGAGCTGTTGGCTATTTGAGGAAACTTACTGCAAAATGGAGTGGTGATTATCCCATATTTGGTTTCTAAAAAAGCGGACGAAACCAGTTGTTTTTCTACACATTGAAAAGCTGTCAGTGTTTGATAATCATCTTTTGTTTTGTAGGACTGGGAGTATTTTTAATATTATCTAACTTTTTATAATGATCCTCTATTAGGCTTTAGCAATACAATTAAAATTAAGATACTATAAAATAAGAAAAAGGAGATTCATGTTGAGCAGAAAAGTCTTTTATGTAAATTTAAAAAAAGAGATTTGAAGCCAGGCATGGTGACATAGGCCTGTAATCCCAGCACTTGGGAGGCAGAGACAGGAGGATCTCTGTGAGACTGAGGCCATCCTAGTCTACATAGTGAGTTCCAGGTCAACTGGGTCTACAGGGAGACCCTGTCTCAAAACGATCAAAAATAATTTTGATATTATTGAAATTAGTTGAGCTCATTTGCTTTTTAGTTTGTGTCAGATGACATATATAATATATATGTATGTTATTGTATGTGTTGATGAAAAAGTATGGCTCTCAACTCAAAGGGGATAAGAGATAGTTTATTCTGGAGCCAAATATCAGTAACCATGGCCCAGGAACACAGATTCAGGTTACCCCAAATTCCATGTTCCAGTGTGATAACCGTTTCATTATGTTTTTATAGTAACAGAACAAAGAAAAGTCATAAATCAAGTCACTTATCAAATACATTGTTGGATACATTTAATAGGCAGGTCATAGCAAAGTGGGGACAGGGGGCGGGTGGTGGTGGTAGAGTTCCAACTATAGGTCTCAGATGGTATCTGACGGCATTCTTAGTTTTTTGATTGGTGGGACCTGGTGGTCTGCTAAGTTAATACATTACAAAAGGTTTCTATCTGTTAGTCACGGGATGTTAGGTCAGAAACAGAGATGGTCAAAGAAATGGCTATTTAAGAGCTAAAGGTAGCCTGAGATAAGTGGTAATTAGGCTCTGGACCTGCAACATTCCAGACTCTCCACAATCTCTGGAGCACTAATCAGTTGGTCAGCCTTTCAGGAAATTCAGTCCAAGATGCAGGATTTTCTGGGAACGTTTTCATTCACAGTTCCCTCTTTTGGCCAAGCATTACATTTTGTGCATGCAAAGGCCACAAATTATTTATTACCATGTCGTCGTTAAGGAGGCTCATTCCTAGAATCTGATGTAGATGAGGCTCTGGAGCAGATGAGAGAACAGTCTTCAGGAGAGAGGAGCAGCTGGCTGTGAAAGCCAATAAGAAAGAAATTCCTGGATCATATCGAAACTATTACCCACCATGATCTGGATCTTTTTTCTTTTCTTTTGTCCTCTGTATCTGATATAACATTTGTGTGTGACAGATAATGGAATGATTATACCTAAATTCAAATAATCAAGAGCATTGCTCAGTCTAATGGAGTAAATGTAACAGATAAAGGCAACAACATTAAAATAAAAATGAGATTGACTATGTTTTCCCCATTGTTATCTGTATTCTATGAATTATTTTATTTATATTTGGAATGTTTAAGCAAATCTATTGTTTTCTAATATTTGTTTTTTCTTTGGATCAGTTAGACCTTATGGAGTGGCTAGCTCTAACTCTAATAGTTCTTATCTGTGGATAATGACTTGATCTGTTTTATTATATTGGTATCATACCAGATTTAGTTTAAGACATATTATAGAAAAAAATAACACAACAATATAGTAGTCTTTAAACTTTCTTCTAACAAGAATCTTCATTTACATAAAAATATTAATAACATTAATAGAAACAAGAGATCAATCTGGTTAGAAAATCAGAATTTTATAGGCCTTGAAAGTTTGACCAACTGCTTTTTATTTTAATGATTAGAAATGGAAACGAGACTCTAGAAGGAGTCATTGTAGTATTGTACATTTCCTTAGTAAAATATCGATATTGCTTAATTATTTTTATCCCAGCTAAGTGT